CCTTTCTGTATCTGTTGTTGTTGTTGTTGTTAAGTGCCGTTGAGTCAGTTCCGACCCATAGAGACCCTGTTCAGGGTTTCCAAGGCTGTAAATCTTTACGGGAGCAAAAAGCCTCATCTTTCTCCCACGGAGCAGCTGGTAGTTTCGAACTGCTGACCTTAAGGTTCGCAGCCCGATTCGTAACCACTAGGCCAGCATTAATTGGAGATATCCGTGTGTCTTGACATCAATCTCCACAGAATCTAGGCACATCACAGTGCAGAAACCCCAGATCTAACGGATACATTCCACTCTTAGCTTTTCTTTTTTGTTGTTAGTAAGTCCTTTTGATCTCTGCTCATTTCTCTCTGTTTTTACCTCTTGAGTACAAGGTGTTGCAGATCACACCCCAGGCCCACTCCCTTTACATCAGATCAGGGCCATGATAGGATTAAAGGTGCTGCATCCTACCCTTAATCTTTTTATTGTTATATCATGTTACGTCACTTTTCATCTTCCATCATATTAGGTCATATTGTATATTCCCATAATGCTACTTTTCTTCATCACATAACTGCCATATTATGTTATTACATAATTGCTGAACAAGTGAGAATCATGGTCGTCAAATTCACACATATTTTGGGGGACACAATTTAATCCATGCCCATGTCTTAATTGAAGAGGACCTAGGATTAACAGCAGAAGCTATAGCCAACACCATAGATATCTCAATTGATTCTGCTTCCACAATTCTGACTGAAACTAAAGTTGAGAAAATTTTCTGCTTGATGTGTGTAAAAACTATTGTGCCCAGGTCAGCTGCAGACAAGAGCAGAGCTTTCACTGGTAATTTTAAACAAGTAGGATCAAGACCCTGCAGAATTTCTTTCAAGAATTGTAACAGGAAATGAAACATGGTGTCACCAGTACAATCCTGAAGAGAAATCACACAACAATGGCTACCAAGAGGTCGAAGTGGTTCAATCATAACATAAGTTGACCAGTGCAAAACAGAGGTCAGGGAAATAGTGTTTTGGGATGCTCAAAACATTTTGCTTGTTAACGGTCTGGAGGGCCAAAGAATGGTAACAACTGCTTATTATGAGAGTGTTTAGAAAAAGTTAACCAAGCTGTAGGAGAACAACTCTAAGGAAAACATCATTAGAGAGTCCATCACAGCAATGTTCCTGCTCATTCCTCTCATCAAACAAGGGCAATTTTGTGAGAGTTTCGATGGGAAATCATTACACCTTATAGTCCTGATATGGCTCCTTCTGTTTTATTTTTGTTTCATAATCTTAAAAAATCTTTAAAATGCACCCATTTTTTTCTTCCATTAATAGTGCAAAAAAGACTGCATTGGCATGGCTAAATTGCAAGGTCCCTCAGTTCTTTAGGGATGGACTAAATGGCTGGTGCCATTGACCTGGATGGACCTTATGGTAGAAAGTCTGTATTTTATATTTATCATTCAATTCCATTTTCCTACAATGCTTTTTGAAAACCCCTCATATTGTTAATTGTATAGTCAGGATCAGCACGAATCCAATTCTTATCGGGAAGTGAATATACTTCACATCTTCCCATATATCCATTTTTCTTGCCAAGTACCTAGGTGGACACTCTCTACAACCTCCCACCTCCCAGAGCTGGATTGGAGTTCATAAATTGAAATACAGTTATCCTCAAATTAATGGCCATCCTTCTTTGACCCCCAGTCTCCCAAAGTTCAGTTTACACAAGTGCAAAGGACACTCAGTCCTTCTGATTGACAAATAGACTGATGGCTCTCTTTACTCCTATAAATTCATTACTTCACTGGTATAGCTCACAGACTTTATGGATTTTATCAATACTTATTTCCATCTAACTCACTGCCATCTAGTCAATTCCATCTCATAGAGACCCTAAAGGAGAGAGTAGAACTGCTCCTTAGGGTTTCTGAGACTAATAAATCTTTATAGGAACATACAACAGCATTTTTCTCCTGGTAGATTTGAACCATCAACCTTGTGGTTAGTAACCCAGTGCTTAACTCACTGTAGTACCAAGTTTCAGCTATACTTATGGTTACCAATTTATCATAACAGAAATGACACAGACAAAGAGATATATGGGTCAGGTTCTTGAAGGGATCCTGGTGCAAGGCTTCCATGGTACTAAGGGGCATGCTTCCCACCCTAAAGCAGATGTTCTCTTCAATCAGGAAGTGCCCTAACATCCATACTGAAAGCCATTTATTGGCTTTGTTGAATAGTCACTGATTGCATCATTGGATATTCATAATTGATAAAGTCATGCTTCCTCCCTTCTTGAAGTTATCTAGTAAGTACAGTCTCTGTAGCTTTCACTCATTTGCAAGTATTGTCCAGAGGCTTTACAAAATAAAGATACTTCAATTACCCAGGAGAAGCCCAAGGATTGTTTCTCAGGATCCCAAAACAAACAGGCCACTTTATTTTAGGAAAGGTAATTCATTACCACACAGTTTGTCAAACAATGCACCACTGTGGAAAACTAGAGATTAGAGCTTTAGAATTATTACACCCAAAGTGCAAAGTTGCTAAAATATTTATATGTTGATTCCTGTCAGTCATTTCTTGATAACCGGTACAGAGGTATGTTAATTCCATGGTGGTTCTAGCTTCTATACATATACTACAGCAGTAACCCATTTTTCATTAGTTGAGGTACACGTTAAAAATTGAAGAAAATGAGATGATGTTATAAACAACTGCATGGAAATAATTCTGTAACTTATAAATATGCACCTTTCCTTTAAACAGTATTCCTTTCAAAAATGAAAAATGAGTAAATTGAAATGTTAATTATATATGCATGAAATAGTAAAAACAAAATTAAACCTATGAATTTAAAAATCAGACCCCCAAAAATCAGGGTTTTAAGAATCTATGTTGAATTACTACCTTGAAAAATCTGTGATAGCATCCACTAAATATTGTATATAAGAGAATCAAGGAGGACAACATAGCAGAAAGTTGAGTACACAGTCTAATCCTCTTACTTTACATTTTCAGTGAACAATAGCTAGATGTTTAACAGTCAAAATATGTATCTTTTCCTCTGAGGAGTATTTTAAATTTTGGTTTTAATATTATATTAAAATAGTTGTGAATATATCGATATGGACAATATTTTGAAGGACAAGCTCCCAAAAATATTAATACTTTTCATTTCTTGATGGTAGAATTTTCTCTTTTTTTCACATCTATTTTT